GCGGCAATGTTTAATTAAGCTAAAAGAAGCGCCGACAACTGCAGCCATTTCCCATTTGCAGTGGTTTTAATTAGTGTCGCGACCCCTTGGAAAAAATGAGCCCCCACCATTCTACTTATCCTTGACTTGGCCCAAATTGAGTTATTAGATGCTCATTATCGGCCATTCTCGCTTGTCTAGCACTTTTTCTCGATTCCAGTATTTTTTTTTTTATTTTTTTGCCCAGCTGCAGTCGAAAGCCGCTGACATGGAATATAAATTTGCAATGCCCTCCCTGAATCCCCTTAGAAGTCGCCAATAATTGGCTACTAATGGTGGCACATAAAAACTTTTACTGACTGCAATAAAAAATCCCATTGACAAAACTTTTCTGCCAACTACAACAAATACAGCAGCTGCAAAGAAACAAGAGCAACCATCCACTGCATGGAGTGAAAAAATAAAGTGGGGAGGTGGCATAAAAACAGAATCAATTAACATTTTCATTTTGCGATTTTCCGCTTCAACTTTGCAACACAAATTATTGCATTTTGTCATCTTTGTTGCTGTTGTGGCTGCTGCCGCAGTAAGCGCCAATACAAATGGCTTGAAAGTGCATAATAGATGTTTGTTTGCGGCCAAATGAGTGCGCCCTGAATGCTAATTGTAATTTAATTGCATGCCGCTCGCCAAAACAGGATCATTGCCATCTCAAGGAGGATTAATTACGCCAGCGCTTGAATAAAAATAAAAGCAGCTTTATTTAAATCCAATTGATTAAGAATGTGGCATGTAAATCATGGTGTATCTCAAAAATACTGAGCTCAACATAATTTGTTGCATACTTTCAGGCAACGCAGCAAATCCCTGGTAACAACATGATAGTTTATATGCTCTTAAATGCCACATAGCCCCAGTATCAATTGCTACCTTAAACGTATTGAAAGCCTTTTTATAAAATTTGGTCACAATTGGCTGCTTTACAATATTGCTGCGCCACTTTTTGCACCTGTTAATTATACTCTGCATGAGCGTGCAATCCTGCGAAGCTGGGAAAGCTGCTAAAAGTGGAAAAACTGGCTAGCCGATCCGCGGCTCCATTGTTCTTGTTTTTGTAGCCGGGTGAGCCCCATTGTTATTGTTATTCGATGGCACTTACAAATGCGAGTGAAATTCATTGGGCCCCCCGCAACGCTGCTCACCTGGCAGTCGCACCTGCAAAATGGAGAGTGCCACGCGCATTATTGCAAACAATTTGCCCCGTTTGTGCCACCGGACAAATGACAAAAAGGACAAATGGCACAAAATATTTTCCAGGCGCTCTGGTGCAGGCAATCGGAAATGTTGCCAAAGTTCTGCAACCAACACACACTCATGTGCCCCAAAGGCCAAAACACACATACATGCACACACATACACACAGGAAGAGAGTCAAAAGGGCGCAGGATATGCACAATGTATGCATTGAGGCGAAGCTTTGGCGGCTTAGCCCGAGAACCCTGCCCACTCCCGAATGTCCTGCGCTGCCTGTGCGCCTGCAGTGTTTGTTTTAATTTAAATAAATGAGCTTAAGCGCACTCACAGCTTGTGATCCTTTAAGGCTCTACGCCGGCTCCTTATTTTATTTGTCCTTGTCGGAATCGCAGTCACTGTCCTTGTCTCCGCCGCCTCTTTTGTTGTCCTTATTTAGCTGAGCTGGCAACGAACGTTGGACGATGGACGTTGGACGATGGACGGGGGTTTGCCAGGATATGCAAGTGCTAAGCATTTTTAAGTCAAATTGCTTTGCCGAACATTCTGCCATTTCGCTGCAAGACTGACCCTCCCGCGGACCCTCCCTTGTGTCCCGCCTCCTTCCTCCTTCAACGATTTTCCCCCGGCTTTTCCGCTTTTCCAACGCTTTCGCGACGCGTTGCTGACGTCGTCAGCGCTCTCCAACTCAAGAGTTTGGCGTTGTTCTTGTTGCACTGGCTTCTGTTTTTCCACTGGGTCGACTCAATTTGGCCAGCAGTTTGGCGTGATTATCCGAAGCTAAGGGAGCTAATAGAATTAATTTGTTTTATTTCATAAATACTTTTGGGGCACAACTTACCATTTGGTTAAAAGTGGCTCATGTATTGAACTAGCTAGAACAAAACAGTATGAAAAACTTTTGTGTTTCGCTTGAGGCACGACAAATAAAAAACCGACTAATTTAAAATTTACGCTAATTATACAATTTGCTTTGATATTTTTACATTTTTTTAGAAAAATAATTATCGACGGTGGCAAACAAAACAAATCCTCTAATTATACGTAACTATTTTGTTTAGTTTTTTGTTGGTTGTGAGTAACTAATTATAAATATATTTTTTATAAGTAACTGTAATCACAATATCGAAATTGAAATTAAAATTTATAATAATTTTCTGTTCTGGCAATTTATTATCTAAATAAATAATTATATTATTTATAAAACCGAATCTAGAGTATTTAATATTTTGAATCTAAAACATCCTTTTTAGCTGCTCCTGTTGTTGCAATGGCTCTTGTTTTTGTTATTCACGCTGCAGCTGCTTTAGCTGTTGCAGTTGTTGTTGTGCTCGTGAAGGAACTTCAAAAGGCTTTTCCGCTGTGTTAGTTCGCTTTGCTGTCGCCTTTTGCTCCTTTCACTTGCTCCGCCGACCTCGCGCTGCCACTTGTCGAGTTTCTCTTTCCATCCACCCCCGCCCGCTCCGCGGAAAACCCGACTCCTTTTTGGCCAGGCCTGAAGTTTACCTTTGGTGCAACTGCGCTGATTTGCAGTTTCTTGCTTTCATTTGATGGGCGCAGTTTTTGTCATGTTTTTTCTAGCCCATTCATTCTTCTTTGCTCAGTTTTTCCAGTTTTTCGAGTTTTTCCGGGCTTGCTCTCTTTGGCGCCGCTTCTGTTTACACAGCAAATTTATTTATTTTCGCACTGTGGGACGCTCTTAAATATTCCGTCTTTTGAGTGCTAATGCAAATGTTGTCTGGCGGGCGGACAATCAGCGGAATGGCTAAAAGGCGTGGGTGCTTTTGGCCAAAGGAAGCGGAAATCACTCGAAATAACGCCCGATGATTAACTGGGAATTCGCCGTGAATCAAGGTAAATATGTGATGAGTGTGAGGCAGTCGCAAAAGGAGCCATTCAATCGGAAATGGTGTCTTTGAACACCTCTAATTAAGTGTAAACTAAATGCAAAGTAAGAATACGAAAGCATATGCGAGAAAGAAGTTAATGGGCATTTTAATTACCCAAACGAAAGAAAAGTCGATGAATGAAATGCTCTGAAGCTCTACATTTAAAGTCCAAGAAAATAAATCTCTAAATTTGTTTACTAGTATATCCAATTTATGAATGTGTGTTAGCCAGCATGCAAATTATGGTTTGTTTGTATTTCTTTTCAACCGTTTGTTTGGCTTTAAATACAGCAAAAAAATTGTCAGAAAGGAAGTGTACAGATGCAAATGGAAATGCTGACATGTGGTGTTATTTATTGAAAATACAATAAAATTAAGCAGAAAAGGAAGTCAATAAAACCAGATTTCAGTTCCGATACACAATAGTTAGAAATTCAATTTAGATGCCGATTGTGGATAAGCCGAATAAAAACTACACAATCTTCCAGCCAACTCAAAAACTGTGTGCCAACGCAAGGCCATTAATACAATGGGCTGGGAAAACAATTAAATTTAATAACCGTAAGTTAATCCACTTAGCAAGAAAGCAGATTGATTCCCCTCTGCATCATTCTCATCCCGTACTAAAACCCGACTCCGTGGCAAGTTTCGCATGCTGCAAGCTCGAGTGCTTCCCACGCCGAGTAAACTTCTCGCCCCTGCAACATTCTGAAACTCTAATTTAATAAGTAAATCACATTTCCGCCTTTTGAATGTCACCACCCAGGACTCCGAAGGGAGTTGCAGGGCGGCACCCGGAACTGCGAGCCCCAAACACTCGGTTTTCCCGGCTCCACAGTCACCAGCTCCTGGGGCATCGCATTGACACCTCGTCAAAAGTTCGCAAGACATCGCTCCGGCGACTTGCTAACTGGTTTAGTGCAAATTCACTATTAGGAGAGCGCTCAATTTCACACTGGAATTAAATTACAGCGCATGGCGATGCGGCAGGTGGGCGGTCGCCTGCAAGGGGGGCGTGGCGCAGCAGCGGGAGATCAGAGTTTGTGGCGCGTTTCAGAGGCACGGCAAATGAGCGAACACCTCGTTAGTTTGTGCGCCTCGAAACTTTTTTAATATTTACATTCATATTTTGCACCTTTCGCCTTTTTAACCGCTTTTTCACGCCCTCCCAAAATCGCGAGCCCTTCTTTTATTGCAACTTCTGCATCCTGACTGCAGCATCCTGGCCGCTGGACGGACCAAGGATACTGCTGCTGCCGAGCCATAAATTTTTGTTTGTGTTGAAAATTGCATTTGCCTTTTACTTTGTGTCGGGCTGGCTGAGCCAGGGATCCCAAATTGGTGGCAACACGGGGTGGTGCACTGCGAGAAAATGTGTAGCCAAGAATCCAAGGTTATCTAATGTTTCATTGATAAACAGATTTCTAACATTTACCAGTCAAATATATTGCAGATTATTTAGTAAATATTTGTGCAACTTTTTTATTTGGTCTAATAATCCGATTTCCCTCAGTGCATTACATGGCTGTGTTGGTGAGATTGAGCTTGCCCGGCAGCCATATTGGATGCCCCTAAAAGCAGGCAACGTCAAATTTGTTGCAACGCTTGATAATCAAGTTAGCGATGGGCGCTGCTGCCATCAAATTCAGCCCCCTTTTTGCCCTTTTCACCCCTCCTCTGCAGACCAGCCCCCCTTTTAGTGCACTCAAATTGAACAGCCTTTTGTGCTCGATTCCTCGCTTTTTTCGCTTTATCGCGATATAAATTTAAACGGATGATTCCGCTTCGGACGGGGATTGTGATTCTGATTCTGAATCCGCATTTGATTCTGATTCTGTTTCTGGCTCTGATGTTTTGCTCGCATTTCTTGTTTACTTGCAGATGTCAATGGGCGTGGCAGTGGGGCGGCGAGTCGAACCAGCTGAAAATCAAAGCCCAATTGGCACAAACACGCGGTAAATAGAATTCGCAATCGGAATCGGAATTGGAATAGGAATTCGCATTCAAATTCGAATGCAAATAGAAATAGAAATTGCCGCGAGACCCCCACAGAAAAAAAAACACTCACACGCATACACACACAAAAAATAACAGCAACTAAAATACCCATAAAATAATAGGAAAACAAAGAGTGCCAGCAGAAGCAGCTGCTGCTGCAAATAAAAGAACCGCAACAGCAACTGCAACAGCAGCAACAACGGCCATAACAACTCCACCAACAACGACATCAACAACAATATGGAGAAGCTGCTGCAATCGACGCTGTTTGTCATCCTGATAATGGCCACAAAATGCGGCAGTGGCTCTACCCAGAACCAGCATCACGGTAAGTGGACATGGAATGGGGCATGCCAGGGGAGGCATTTAATTGCGAGCGGGTGCCTCACTACATCCATTTCCAACTCCCTTCGCAGAGAGCAATTCCCAGCTGGATCCCGATCCGGAGTTCATAGGGTTCATCAACAACGTCACATATCCGGCAGGACGCGAGGCCATCCTGGCCTGCTCGGTGCGCAACCTGGGCAAGAACAAGGTGAGCTAACTGAGTATTGTTATAGGTATCAAGCACGACTTGCCTAGAATTTCTTTACATGTAACACATCTAATATATAATATGATATTAGGTGGGTTGGCTGAGGGCCTCCGATCAGACCGTTTTGGCTCTACAAGGTCGCGTGGTCACCCATAATGCGCGAATCAGCGTCATGCATCAGGATATGCACACGTAAGCTCACTGACCTCCTTTATAGCGGCAATATAACTTAAATACAACTTCCCCTCCTTAAAGATGGAAACTGAAAATCAGCAAGCTGCGGGAAAGTGATCGCGGCTGCTATATGTGCCAAATAAACACGAGTCCCATGAAGAAACAAGTGGGCTGCATCGATGTGCAGGGTATGTCTTTCGGCCGCATATTCCTATATAGAACATAAGCTCCTAATAGTCACATGTCCTTAGTCCCACCGGACATCATCAACGAAGAGTCCTCCGCCGATCTGGCCGTTCAGGAGGGCGAGGATGCCACGCTCACCTGCAAGGCCACGGGGAATCCCCAGCCCAGAGTCATCTGGCGCAGGGAAGACGGCGAAATGATTCTCATTCGCAAGCCAGGCAGTAGGGAGCTCATGAAAGGTACAAACATGGCCTGAAAGCCTTTGATATCTAATTCATTACCCTCTTTCAGTGGAATCCTATAATGGATCCTCGCTCAGGCTGCTCCGCCTGGAGAGGCGTCAGATGGGCGCCTACTTGTGTATAGCATCCAACGACGTTCCACCTGCTGTCAGCAAACGAGTCTCGCTGAGTGTGCAATGTGAGTTATCAAATATTTACACCATGAATAGAATATTATACTTCAAGTGCAGGGATTTACCTATGCCTTTACCGAAAATAAGGACTTCTCATTTCCAATTACACATAGACAGCCGACTAAAAAATCAGTATCCTCCAATCCTATTTCTGATTTACCAAATTTCGTCCTCAAAGTTTCAGCAATTAAAGTAGCCAATTTAAAAGTCAGTGTGCTGAACAATTGCACAATTTCGTGAGAATAAGAACAATAAATGTATTTATCTGTGCGATATTCTGAAATCGATGAAATCCGAAACGAACCACCCACTCACCACTCCACTCCACAGTTGCTCCCATGGTGAGGGCCCCCAGCCAGCTGCTGGGCACACCCCTGGGATCCGATGTGCAGCTGGAATGCCAGGTGGAGGCCTCGCCGTCGCCCGTCTCCTACTGGCTGAAGGGGGCGCGGACGTCCAACGGATTCGCCAGCGTTTCCACGGCCAGCCTGGAGTCCGGCTCGCCGGGACCCGAAATGCTGCTCGACGGGTAAGTTGAGGGAATTCCGGACGGCGGACATCGGTGATACATATCCATCTCGAAAACCATTCCATTCCTTTGCTATCTGTCCATGCCGACCCATATCCAATGCAGGCCCAAGTACGGGATAACTGAGCGGCGCGATGGCTATCGGGGCGTCATGCTGCTGGTGGTGCGTTCCTTCTCGCCCTCCGATGTGGGCACCTATCACTGCGTCAGCACAAACTCGCTGGGCCGTGCCGAGGGCACATTGCGGTTATACGGTGCGTATACGCAATCTCTACTCCACCATCTCCCGCCATCACAGGGTTTAATTTGTTTTGTTTGTCCCTGTTGTTGTATTTTTCTCGGTGCCTGTGGTTCTGCGTTGCAGAAATCAAGCTTCATCCGGGCGCCTCCGCCAGCAACGATGATCATCTGAATTACATCGGAGGTGAGTTACATGTATATAGGAATAAATCTGTCGTGCGGAGTTATTTAAAATTAAAATATTAAAAAAATACAAAAGCAATCGATTTTTAACTCTTTTCTGAATAATTTGAACCATTTGCATGTTTCTTGTGCCACAGGTCTCGAGGAGGCTGCTCGGAATGCGGCCAGGAGCAACCAGACGACGTGGCAGCCCCTGCTCGCCATGCTGATGCTGCTGTGGATGCGGCGGAATCTGGGAGCCGGGGGAGCGTGATATCAAAATTGAGAGAAGAAGAGCCGGCAATCAAGTATTCCTACAGATTCCCTCGGACACCGACATCGACATCTCTTTCTCTCTTGCCTGCGTTCTTGTTGTTCGTTTCCGTTTCCGGTTCTGTGGCCCCATCTCCAATGTATTGGACCCCTGCCGCCCACGCACGCATACATATTGCCGGAGGCGCCTCCCGCTGCCTCAGATATCATTTGCATACGTATCAGGAAACGCGTTGTTCCCACCCGCTCGAAAACCCATAAGTCCCTTGCTAGCTCCCACCCCCTGATCCCTAATGAAAGTAAGGAGGATATCAAAAGTGGACAATTGGATGCCAAGCCCTACCATTTCTCCCCAGCCCCAAATAATGTTACATTGCATATAAATTAAATATGAATACTATAAAATAGTGCATAAAATTTATTATCATAATATAAATAACGACAAAATTATTGAATAAATTATCGCAAAAGTGGATAAAAACCGAATGGAAAACTGCATTTTCTTTACTTCCGACACAACTTCCTGGGCCACTGGCCTGACCCACTGATCCATTTTCTGGCCACTGTTTTCCAGATGGCAAAACGTAAGTAGAGGAGAAAAGAATCGATGGACACCTTTAACCACTTACCCCACTGATTTCCAAGCAGCACCGGGCAGGTGGCCTGCAAGCCTCGAATATCACAATTGCCGCAGTTGTCAGTATTATGCCAAACCAAGGCCGATCCCCGAACGGGCTTAAAGCCAAAGCCCAGATCCGGAAAAGAGGCGTAGCCACCCATTTGAACATCATTGAGCTGGGAAATAGAAATGTGTGCTGTTTAAATTTAAATTGAATTTTCCTTTCCTGGGGCTCATAAACATTGGCTTTCGGTGAACGTTCAGTTTTATACTTTTTTGGATTAAAGCATTAGCTTTGGTTATTTTGCAAACACCTCCATTTTATAATCTGCACACAGACCCTGCTCTAGAAAACTTTAGTTTAAAATTTAAAGATAAAAACTTACATAAAGCAGCACAGATGTCGAGCGGTATTCTTTTGTGAAGTGCCCTTTAAACTTTTAGAGAACAAAATCATAAGAGAATTGTAAACCATAAGGGATATATTAGATACGAAACTCACTTTGGGCTGCCCGCAGTCCAAGTGGATGGCCTCCTGCCCTCCAATCCCATGGTTAGAGACTGTAAGTGGCTCACTTCCTTCCAAATCGAATCCTGTAATGTCCTCAATCCTTTGGTGAATTCGCCTCACATGATCAGACGCATTTGTATCCACTTTGGCTTCTACCCTAGAACTTTCTATTTTCTTGTGCTCTAACCTTGATTCCGTGAGACGTAACAAATCCTCTTGTTCAGCTTGTAAGATAGCATCATGAAAGAGACCCACGAAGGGTTCAATGTTGAGCTGCTCAAGTTTCAAAGCAGCCAATCGAAGAAATGGTGAACCTTCTCTAAAGTATCTACAACGCAAGGAGGATTTGCTCGGAGGAAGGTTTTTACCTCGGCAGTTATCCACATGCACAGACTTGTGGGCTAAGTTATCTATGAAGTGTTTGGCCAGATCGGTATTATCACCATCGGAGGCCCATCCTATAGACTCCTTAAAAGCAGCCTGACTCGCTGGTAAATCATCTAGAAAAAGTAATGGCAAGTATAATGGTCAAATATATGGTTACTTTTATTTTACTTACGCATAGCGAGCAATGTTAGACCTAATTTCTCGTAGATTTGAGAGCGTCCTGTTTGAAGTAATCTATTTACAGGATCCAGGTTATCTTCATACTGATCAAGCGCGACTTTGAACCACTTGCAGGCCAGCTTGCCCTTCTCCAGATTCTCTAAATGAGTGGCCAAAGCAAGGCAATCTGCAGCACTCATTCTGGAACTTTTGAGGTATTTAAATTAAGTACCCTACCGGCAATGGTTGTATAGAAACCCACTTGTACTGTTTTCCAAATAGTTTTCCATTGGCCATTTCGCTTTCATCCAGACCGTAAACGCCCTGAAACCGCAACATACCAAATGCAGCCGATTCAAGCTCTAGCTCAGAAAAACGGCTCAAATCAAAATCAATCAAATTTTGAAGCGGTCCTGTGCATAATCCAATGTTATTCCTAGTTTAAATAAAGTGGATATATAGCTACTACTTACCCTGTGTGACCTCCTCACGAGCTAAGTCCAGCAACTTGGGAACATCCGTATACATACGTCGCATGAGCGGAAAACTTATCAACGGATTGGCCACATAGGGCGTAGGATCAGCGGGCTCTAGCTCCCTCCTGGTCATCCACTCCTGCTGGAAACTATTACATCGATAATTACAATGGTTGCTAATAAGGCAAACAAATCACCTACGTCTTCATCGTGTTTACTTTGTATTGCAATTCGCTCGCATACTGACGCATAAATCCAATTAGTTCGTCCTCCATTTGCAGCAGAGATGCCATTTCGCGGGTTGATGTGGCATAGTATTGTGTCTCGATTGCAGTCGCGACTCCGAGGAGGAAAATCGACCAGCATAGGTTCATGATGATAAGTGAATGTGAAAACCTCTGAGCGCTGTATTGTGCTTATTAAAAGCCATGAAGTTGTAATTTGTTCAGGTAATATACATATGGGATGAGCTTTGACTTTGACTGTCCCTTTTGAGCTCCAATAAAGGCCTAAAAGTATACAACCCATTCTGACATACAGGGCCATATAAGATACATTTAAAGTGGGCTGAAAAGCTTTGGAATGGTTGCCAAGAAGTTATCCATAATTTTCCTTATTAAAAACGCAGTAAGTTCTTTTTTATTTAAGATTTATTTCAATTTTTAATAACTTGACAATATTGTTTTCTTTTATCTTATAGCTGGTTGATTGGGTTAAATTGCAAATAATGTAATTTATAATTAATATTTATGTAATATTAAACTAACTCACAATCATTTGAATTAAGTATGTATAGTATATTCAAATATACTCTAGGGCTCATCCGATGTGTGTGTGTAGCAATGTGTAAATGGGTTGATCTTTCGATATTCGGTTGTAAACGAAAACGAACAAAACAGGCCGGCGACAGTTCTACACATTTGAAAAACGTATTCTAAGTGAGAGATGACTCTGGGGATACGCAAAATGCGCTGCGATTGCTGAAGTGTACACAGGGTGGCATAACAATTGCTCTTTTACATTTACAAGTGTCCGTACATTCGCAGGCGGTGTACATAATGGCTTGCATTAGCTTACAGTTCACGCTCTCGAAATAGTGCATTAATTACAAATTAGTCGGCTCCCGTTTCAGTGACAGGTGTACATATGGGGATGCATTTCAACTAGCGCTTAAGCGACTTTCTTATTTTACAACTACATTTGTATATTCCAATAATCGGTTTGCAGTCGGTTCAATTAGTCTCCTCCACCTAGGGGTGTGCACAATGCAAGACATTTACAATTAGGTTCTGGTGTCGGGAAGACGCACCGCACTATTAATATTATACACGATTTGGTTATCATTACAGAACAAAACACTTGGCGGGTATGGTACAATGCACAAGCGCAACATGGCGCTACACAGCTCTAAATATAATGCACAGCAACATGTGCACGAAATATTTGGAAACAATGGATCAATAAGGATCAATGGATTTTTGTATAATAAACATCTATACAAGTCAAGTTCAAAAAATTTAGAATAAAAGACTTTAGCACTTAAAATAGGGTTCGTCGTAAAGTCGCTGGTCTACTCTACGAGGCGGGTGCAAGACGTTGCTGGACGACTGCCTTGAGTGTATGTTTGCATGAGTGAGTGCTTAATTAGCGCTGTCTGTCAACAATAACCAAATCGCTGTAATTCTCATCTGGAGAGGCTGTGCGACCTTTCGCGGCTGCTGCTGCCCGACGAAAGGGGCTGCTTATTGCTGACCTCACCCACTCGATGGTGCGGTGGCAGCCTGTCGAAAAAAGGATGATGCAGGGCTTCGCCTGAAGCAAATCAAAGAGATCAATTAGCAAGGCAATCAATTAAAAAGTCGGCGCCACCTTACCTAACGTAATGCGTGACGAGGGCTCATACTCCAGCATCTTCTTGATCAGACTGAAGAGCTCACAGTGGTCCTCGCTGTCGCTCAGCTGGCACAGGAACAACGGCTTGCAGTGATCACGGACGTAGCGACCCGCACTGGACTTCTCATCCCAATCCAACTTACCATGATAGAAGTACTTTGTTTTGGTTTTGCTATAAAGAGTATGATTGCTACACGTTAAACGATTTCGGTGAAGGGAACTGCGCCTTGGGAAATAAAAGCGTGAGCTGCATTGTATTACCGTGCCATGCGATATGGTATTTGTCCCAAGATTCGCTCCATCATGGCCAGGTGCTCGCGATTGTCGTGCGTTTGGAAGAGCGTGATTCCCAGATACAGTTCGAACAAGATGCACCTGCAAGCGAAATTTCGGCGGTTATTTAATATGCGCATATTTGCAATGCCAATACGATTCTTACCCAATGGACCAAACGTCACACGGCTGTGACCACCCCAGCTCCAGTATGACCTCTGGCGCGCGGTAATGTCGCGTCGAGACAATTGTGCTGTGGTGCTCATGGTCGAAGGTGGCCGACCCAAAGTCGATCAGGCGAACGTCCGTGTTCTTGACGCGGCGCACCTCCCGGTTCTGTGAAGTATGATAGTATAAGGATCTTTTCATATTGTTTGCTGCTTGCCTCCACTTACAATCTTATGATTATAGTGAGAAGTATAATCCGAGTCGACGAAGAGTATATTCTCCGGCTTGAGATCGGTGTGCGTTAAACGATTGTCATGTAGAAATTTCACAGAATAGCATAGTTGATAGGCCATGTGGCGCACTTGGTCCAGCGGGTATGGCTCGTAGTTGTTCTCTCGCTGTAAATAAACGTTTCAAGTATTAATCGTCAATTTTTGTTTGTGTAAGCTAGCTTGTAACTCACCAAAAAATCGAAAACACTGAGCCCCAACATTTCAAAAACTATACACATGTGTCCATGATAATCAAACCAGTCAATCATTTTCACGCACAAACTGCAGAAGCGGTAAAAGTAATTTAAATTAGATTGGATTCTGGAGGAAGTGGTGAATCTAGAATCTTACTGATCGCAATGCGGATCCTTTTGGGCAATCTTTTCCAAAGCATTTATCTCCAGCTTGGCAGCTTCGCGGTACTTTTCCACGTTCTTAATAATCTTTAAGGCCATGCAGTAATCACTGAAACGATGAAAAGGGCGTTAGATTATATTACATTATATTACTTAGATGGTAGTTCTTACCGCTCCATATCTTTGACCTTGACCACACGTCCAAAAGTTCCTTCGCCCAGTGTGGCCATGATCTTATCTGAAATTCGGGAAAAGGATAGCGAGTTGTAGTAGGGTTTCAGACAAGTCCATAAAGAGTGTTAAACGTTAGCTGTCTGGTTGATTTTCTTGTTCTAAAGCTAAACCTGTAGCTGTAGCTAAGTATTTGATGAGGGCTGGGCAAAATACTAATTTGAACTCTAAGCTGAGTGTGTACGGAAAGGGTTTGTAGTTTCAATATTATTCTTTAATTATGCGACAAAGTTCGTGTTCGGTTTGTGTGAAAACTTCCCAGTTGAATTTTGTTGCCGGTAAAAGTTAAACTTAGTGCCATCAAAGACAAATTCGGAAGTTCAAAAGATTTTCGCGAAAGTGACGAAAATTGTGTGAAAATTTTCAATTGTTGCTTTGTCCTTCTCTTTTCTCGTTCAAAATTGTCTTAATTTTCCGATTGCACGCGACGCGGATTGGTCTTGTTGTGAGATAATTAAGAAATAATAATGAAAACTTGGAAATATTTTAAACTAAAAGAGAGTTACAAGAAGAGGAGAGAGAGGTGTGACTGGTGGCTTTTGGCTATCATTATTTTTTCTTCTTTTTCAAGTATTTAAGTGTTTTTTCTTTTAAGTTGTCTGATTGTTGTCTAAACATAAGTATGGAAAAATAAAAAACCAAAAATTGTCACGAACATCTGTGATGGAGAATGTCTCCGGTGTGGTAAATTAAGTGACCATCAGCATCATCTTGAATGACGGGCTTTGCTGTCTGTTCGGTTCGATCGAATCGGATTGGAGCGGAGCGGAGCGACGACGTTGGGTGGTTGCAGTGGTTGCCGTTGGCGTTGCCGAAGTCGCAGGGGTTGGGGGGTGGTGGTGTTTGCGGTGGGTGGCGACGATTGCGATTGCGTTGCGTTGCGGGTGGTGCATTCGATCCGTTGAAAGAAGGTGGTTTGCAGGCGAGCGAAACGGCGAGCGGAGAATTTGCGAGCGAGAAGTTGGGGGCGTTGGGTGGTTGTCGATGGCAGTTTACAGACGTACACATAAGGTGCGTGTGTGCGTGTGTGGTAAAGTATGTAATTTGAAAGAGAGAAAAAGAAACAAAAAAGAAAGAGAAAAAAGAAAAAAAAATATATATATATCCAGGGGTTCGATCGGGTGTTCCATCGGGTGGAGAGTCATCAGGTCAAGTCAATCAAAAGCGCACCATCCAAACGACGAACGATCCCGATCCCACGTTGGCACCAAAGCAATCGCATTCCGTATCAAAGACAGCCGCAGATAGCCCGTAAACCAACCAACATCATCATCATCATTTCATCATCCCCATCAAGTTGTGTATGTACATCATCATCATCAACCCATCATCATCATCATTGTGATTTTCATCATCATATTCAGAAAAAACACGAGAAAAATACGTTTCGTTTGTTCGATAAGAAAATTAGTTCGGACAAATTTTTGAGATTTGTGTTTACAAAAATGGTTAATATCAAAGCATGTACAAACAATATCATATAATGGCAAATAGGTATATATCGAAAATGGTATATATAACGTATTATATATAGATAAATAGGAAATGCACCAATAGCTGTGCTCTTGTTTCTTGGGCAATGAAAAAACAACAAACCATTTAATTGTTTTTGCTCAGTAATAACATTAATAGCTTTTTGGCAATAAAGTGTAAATGCATAATGGTAAAAGAACAAATAAGGTAGTTTTTCGTTGTAAAAGTCGAGGTGAGGGGATTCTTACATTTTTTGTCGCAGTTTTAGTGTCAAAATCGCATGCAAAATGAGCAGGCAGGATCAACATTGTATAAGTAGGACAACACGGAATACAATCCGCAATGCTGTTAGCTTTTTCTGTAGTAGGTCGATTGTCTAGTGGAAAGATTTGGATATGAGGCCTTGAGACATGGGATGGGATCGGATTGGAGGAGCAGGGTCAATGGACAATTGCAGTTGCAGTTAGAAGAGGCGGCGGCAACAAAGCTCAAGCTGCTAAGGAATCACCCATCCGCCAGGATGGTCGTAATGGCTCATTGCTTACAAAGGTCGAGAGTGTCTTTGGAATGCGAGACCTGTTGAACAGGGCCGACGAGGTGGCGCTCTTGGCCAGCTGGTAGTGATCGTGCTGCAGGTAGGAGGACGACTGCTGGTACTGCTGCTGGTAGGCATCCAGTTGGGATCGCTGGGGATACAACGAGCTGCCTCCTCCCAGGGCATTGGATCGCCTACTACTCCCGCTGTACGAGTCGTGGAGGTAGCTCGATCCGGAGCCCGTTCCAGATCCCGGCGGCTTGTAGCGATCGAACTCGTTCAGCACGGCGGCGGTACGTGAGCTGGCGCCCTGATACCGCTGCTGCTGACGTCGAGCATCTGCAGCCGCGAGGCGCGCCCCAATGCCACCGAAGGCCAGTGCCCCGGAGCTGGAGGAGTGCATCAGCTGGCTGCTGGGCTTGTACTTGGCGAGGTCATTGTTGTTGCGATCTGAGTGGGGCAGAAAGCGGCTCTTGTTGGTGGTGCCGGAGGAGAGTGCCGTCGCTGCTGCCGTTGTGTGGTTAGAAAGAGCAGAAGTGCTAGTGGATGAGTTGGTGGCTGTATTGGAGGGGTTGGTGGTGGTGGAGATGGAGGAGCTGGTGGTGTTGCCATTTACAGACGGGATCTGTGTCTGTGGGGTTGTGTCTGCTGTGTGGGTTAGTTGCACACCGGGCGCAGCCGAATCCGTTTCGGTTTCTGTTTCCGCCTCATCGGATGAGCTACTGCCCGAGGTGCTCTCGGAGGAGCCACTGCAATCGCTACCGTCTCTAGTTACTTTTTTGCTGCGCGACTTCTTCTTGGGCGCCTCCTGCGGCGGTGCAAGTGTGGCTGCTGGTGCTGATGATGTTGCGGCAGCTGCAGCAGTTGCTGCCGCATTCGCTGCTGCTGCGGCTGCCTCCTTGGCCTTTTTGGCCTCCTGCTCGAGAGCAGCTGCCTCTGCTTCTGCGGCCGCTACTGCTGCTTCAGTCTTCTTGGCCTCCTCGGCCGCTTCTTCCATGCGCTTGACGCGATCCCTAAGCTCACGGCGTTTGCGCATGCGCTCCTCGAACTTTTTCGCCTCCAGGAACTGGTTGTCTTCTCGGAGCAGCATCAGAATGGCTGCATTGTCCTCCGAAGACCGATCGTCGGCAAGAATTTCGCGCTCTTCAGCGGTCAGTTCTGGTGGTGGCTGCTCCTTACGTCGATGAGCAAAGCGGTTCCTTGAGTTCAATGGTCGATCCTCGGCGTGTCCAGCTGCATTTCGACCGCTGTCTTGGATTTCAGCAGCCAGTAGACTTTCCACGGTTTTGGTTCTACCATACGCCCTTGTGGAGCGAGGCGAGAGGGCTTCTTCTTCGCCAGCTCGCCGGCCGTAGCGACTGGAGGGATAACCTGATGCTCCTCCTAGGCGTAGGGCGTCGTGATAGTCGTAACGCTGGCCATAATCCACTGGGTAGTTCTCGTCCAGCAGCCGATTCCCGCTGGTCAGATAGCCGCTGTCATTGGACTCGGCCATATACCTTTGCCTCTGAGCTCGAGTTCGGTATGGAGTGCGCTCCTTGCGATCGGAAGCATTAAAGGAGCTGGAAGACAACTTAGACTTGGCCAGCTGGTGGGAAGTGGCCGAGCGGAGCAGTCCGCCACTACCACTGGCACCGTAGTCATCCGGCTCCAGGGTCTTGTCGCGATCCTCTTCATGGCGCCGCCTTCCGGCTGCTCGTTCCAAGATATCTGAGTATTTGTTCTCCAGCCGGGAAATTGCCGACTGCTTGCCTCCTGTGGAAATTGCTGAGGTGGTTGGCGTTCTGTCTTTGTCCAAGAGCAGATCTCTTCGCTGAGGAACCAGACGATTCGGGGGATTGAGATTAAGATTCAGTTTCGGATTCGGATTCACAGGTTTAATGGAGAAGGAAAGTGCTCAAGAGCAGCGCTCGTGTGAAACCAACGGTGACGGGCGTAAAACTCTTTACTCTTTACGCTCCACGAAAGAAGAAGGCCCAGAAACCGAAACCCAAACCCAGACCCAGACTTAGACCCATTTAAATGGCCTTTTCGGCAATGACTAATTATAGGGTGCTTGGGCCTTTTCATTTCGCACAATTTCACTACCATTAGAGCCACTCTATCCGGATTTGGCTTTCTCCATGTATTTTCGGATTTTCAGAGAGGTGGGCTGCGGGGATACCCTTTATTTTTATTTAGAATGCCTAGCAAAATCTAAACAAAAAAGTCCACGGCGCGACGACCTTCAAAGTTTATATATAAAGCGGCAGAAAATCGTGAAAATCGTGAATAGCTTTATACACATCTGCGGCGTACAGAGAGATACAAATACAAATATAGCGGAATAGAGAAAAGCGCCGAGATGTTGGTATCGAAAATAAATTCGACAACGTAAACGCACACGGCAAGAATGAAGCTGATGATATAGAATGAGCATATAGAAGCGCTATAAAACGCGTCCGTGTGGGCCCCTAATATAATATCTGCACATATATCTTCTGTGTAGGAAGAAACTTTCTATAGCCGTCTATGTGGCAATCGGGGTAGCAATAGTTAGTGCAATGCTGTTTGACCAAACGCACATATATGCCCTATACCCTATAACGCTTTAATTGCGCATATTTCCCCATTCGACCGTCAGACTTGTCACATATTTAGGGCAAGTGACTTGCTGACTCACGGGCGACAGGTGAGATGATTTCTTTAGTTTTTTCCAAAATTAAATACCCCGACTGTGAGTCATGGGATCACTTTTGGGATCTCGATCTGGGTCTGGGTCTTGAAAATTGGTCTCCTCCGTTGGTTTCCACACGGCTCGCTTTTGGTTCAGTTTTGGGTTTCGAAGATACTAACATCGTCTAGGTCCCGCCTGCCGCCTCCCAATCCTCGGATCAGTGGCTTATAGTAACCGCCTACGGGACTCAGGTGGGTGCGCAGTCTGTCCAGGGCGTTGGCTGTGGTGGAGCTCTTCTGGTAGCGACCCATCAGGGCAGCGGTGCTGGTGCTTCCGCTGCTGCTGGGATGGTAGCCCAATCCTGTGGTGCTGCCGAGTCCTCCGGCCGCATAGTAGCGTCTGTGGCGATCGGCCATCTCGCGTTCCTTGTCCTGTTGCCTATCCCGATCTCGTTCCCTATCTCGTTCTCGTTCCCGTTCCCTATCCCCGTCCGGATGTCTCCGGCTGGTCGAGGATTTGTCCGAGCTGCGGCGACGTTTGCTTAGCTTCTGGGCCTGGTTACTGGATCCACCTTTTCCCTTGTTATTGTTATTATTGCTGTCATTCGTCGTTGGAGTCGAGTCTTTGGGATCCTCGACTATTGCAGTCGCACTTAAAAGAGAAGCCCAACAAAACAATGAGTTCTGGTGAGGATCTATTCGGTTTTTATTTGTCGGTCTGGATGCGTTGATCCACGCGGTTCGCGACGAACGACGGACGGGACGCGCTGCCACGACACGGACCAAAATTTAACTGAGGAAACTGGGGAAAATTTTTCGGAAAATTCGTGCGACGACGAAAGAAAGAGGCGGCAGATGCGAAGAACGAACTAGATGAAGGAAATAATGATGCTGCTGCGGCGGCGACGGTGGCGGCGGTGGTGGCGGTAGCCAGAAAATATTGAGGAATCGTTCTTATTTTTGTGAAAAGTGTGAAAATATTGCGCACTTGCCAGAGCGAGAGGGTTGCTACCGCGTGCGAACGAGAGGGGGTGAACACCCAGATAACATATGTAGACGAGTGGGTGGATTGGATAGTAGATTGGATGCGATCCGCATCGAATGGGAATGCTTCTTTTGTTCGCCAGCTGGGCACGCTTCATCGAAATGCATTTCGCTTTGTAAACCGTAGCGGTGTAATTACATTTCCGTCAGTTTAGCAGCCCAACATGGGAAATGATCGAAAGTCTTCGCAGAAAAAGCCTTGAACTCTCGCCGACAAAACACAACCAGTCAACAAGAAGAACAATAAAATTGCTGCTGGTCGAGCGCGGAAAGAAAGAAAAAGAACAAAGCGAAGCATTTACGTTTTATTTTAAACATGCCCGCACATATAAATAATAAAGGGGCAATTGCAGTTAAACAAAGAGCAGCGAAAAAGAGAGATTCGCTTCATACTCTATAATCATGCGTAATGAGGAAGAATTTGCCAGACATCCAGTTGGACTAGAGAATTTATTTGGTATTCCCCGAAGACAGCTGAAGAGAGATTTGAGGAATTTCAGAATCTGCTGAAGAGAATCACGCGGATTCTTCACTCGCAGAATTCAGACAGCTGTGAAAGCTCGTGGGAAACTCAAGCTTTTTTGTGCAACCAAAAGTTTTTGGCGAAAATATTGAACTTTCGTTAGCCTTATGGACTACGTAAATCTTCTGGCTAACATTTCGAGGCTTTTGCGGAAGGCATGCTGGAAGACATCGATAATCAGATATCCACTCGCAGCCAAATCTTGGCCCACTCTCTTCCATTTCACTTTCAAGTTATTGATGAACCAGCATTTATTAGCTCATTAGACTGACATTTAGGGGTATCCAGTGCATATCATACTGATGTAGGAGCTCCGTTAAGCACTGTTTGATTTATGACTGGCAATAAGACGTGATAAATCAAAATTCGAGTTGTATCTTTTCCCTGGCAATTATTCACGATTTATGGCTGCAAGATTTTCACACTTTTCGAGATCGACGCACCACTGGAAGTTCAGCTGCGAGTTCAAAGCGATCAAAAACGCACTCGCACTCGAGCCCGTTTACATAATTGGCCTTCTTGGCGATGGCCAAAAGGCGGTGGGAAATGCAATATACAAAACGATCCGATGCGATGCGATTCGAATAAAATGATCCGATCGCGAGATACTTTCGACCGCGGAGTGACGCGCTGCAACTAAACTCGCAATTACGCGCTGACCACTCTGCTTAAATCAGCGCCAGGCCAGAGGCACAGAGAATACTCGTACATTTTCATTTCACTCGCGGTGAAAATAGAGGGAAAGGAAAAGCAATGAGCACTGCGTTTTGACCGAGTTTTTCGCTTGACGAAAGGCGACGAAAGTGAAGAAAAAAAAAGGCACGCAAAATTAAAAATAAATTATAAATCTTTTGCTTCATTTCCTTTGCATCGATTACCGATTGCGTTGCTGCTGCTGCTGCTGTTGCTGCTGCTGCTGCTGTTTGTTATCAGGTCGTTCGCTTGGATTGCGTCGAAACCGCTGCAGCAGACTGTTGCAGCTCTCGGAGAGCAGCTGCGTGACGCTGGCGGCGGTGGCGCTTCGCATGTACCGCCGCTGTGGACGCTGCTGCGGTACCGCCTCCGCCTCCGCGTCAGCTGTTTTCCCGTTTTCGGCAACCGCCGTCGCTGGCAATATCTTTTCGCTTTTTTCGCGATGAAAACGATTCAGAAATGTGGCCATTCCTTGGCTTTTTCGGATGTCGGAAATCCTCTTCGCTGCGGCAGATTTCGCGTGGGTCTGGTCCGCGATGACGATGACGACAATCGGATAATACTTAACGCCTCTTAGGGGCTGGTTGTGGACGCTGGGTGGGTGGGTGTTTGGTATATCGTCTGGCTGTTTGAATTTTTGGCCGATACGGATCGTGCTCCTCCGACTTGGTCTATTTCATTAATTGTACTGATTTCTGGTATTTGTTGGGAGCATGATTTTGTTGTAGACGAATAAAATAGAAAAGTATTGTACGTTCTCGGAGTGGCAGACAGTATCTATGTACGTAGAGATCTAGTATAGACAGAGCGTATTTATGTGTAAAAATAATTGAAATTGTAAGAGATTCGGCAGCTTCGACGGAAATAGACACACAAAACAGAGACAAGAGTCGCTAGTCGCCCCCGCCAATGCGACAATTTCGACTTGGACTCGAGGTTCCATCAAAAAAGCACTTTAGATGCGCCCATTTTCATTCACTTCACGCACTTAGAGCCATCCAGTTCTGGATACGAGCTTCGCTTCCGATTTCCCAGGCAGTTTTCACAGCGCGTTTCCTTCACTGACCGCCGATTGCCTGCGCATTGGTCGAAACAAACAAACCGAAATCAGCGCAACATGAACGAAAGCGCACGCCACAAATACTAATTATAAAGATTGAAAATATCGGCGATGTCGAGAACACCGAGCACGGAGCACCATCCGTAAGATCCGCGGGAGAGCTGCTGAGCTGAGTGAGCGCCTCTTCCCGTTGCTATTATTGTTTGCTGCGGCCGAAAGAAACCTACAACTAAGGAAGCTAAGGAGTCTGCAGATCAGTTACGAATATATACCCTATACCATTTTCAGATAGCACCGAAAACTATTGTAACTATTGTAGCAAAGGGTTTAGAGATGCGGAAAATGTTCCATTAATGTAAGAGGTTTGATTGTAGGTAGGGATTGGATGATCAAGCAGTTTTTGTTGGAAAGGGGTATCTTGTAGTCGAGTCAGTCCTCGGGTCGATCAGTCATTTCTGTCGGAGAGCGCGAGAGCAGGTCGTGAGTATTACATATTTTTAGAAATTCTATTCTGCTGAACGCGCTCCGTGTTGTTTAGTGTTTTTTAATTATTAAAACAATTACATCGGGATCGCAATTCGGTCATAAATTAGTTAAAGTTTAACGCATAAAATTCATGTAGGCAGTTAGCAAATATGCAAAGATTTTTTTATCGCAAAAATCAAGTAAACAAACATAAATTAAGCAGCCACTATTTTTAGAGAGCTGATGAAAATTGACATTGAATTTTCCCGCAGTCTTTGCTCGATTGTGCAATGTTGTCGATGTCGACAAGTGCAAGAGCCTGCCAAGAGGCCAAGAGATCGGTGTAGACGCCAAGGGGACCGATATTCTAATGTTGGAGGTAAGCAATAAGTGCCTCTGCTCTTGGGAACGCTTCACACTTGAAACGCCACCAAGAGTACAGGAAGTACAAACTTGGGGGCCAACTGAAATTAGCAAAGCGAGGGAAAGTACAGAAACCGGGGGGGAACACACATCGTCGGCGGCCTTTTGGAGCCCAGCGATGAGTCAGTCGGCTATTTTTGGGGCAAACTTTCTTTGGAAGCGGTAGCATGTTGTTAGTGGGCATTTTTTGTTCAAACACATGTGCAGCACGAACACAAGACAGAAATAAATTGGCGGAATAGAATCTACCTCGATGAAGTGCAGTCCCAACGCGGACTTGGACATTTCATTCTGCTGCTGTTGGTGTGGTTGGTGTTGCTGGCCCGAGTGATTGAATATGACAGAATTGCTTTGTTGTAGCTGCGACTGCTGCTGCTGTTGCTGTTGCGGTTGATGTGGTTGCTTGGTCGATGACGATGACGCCGGCGACGCGTAAAACAATTGCGTATTTGTATTTGGATCGTATTGAAGCCCAGCGGCACCGCCACCTCCTCCTCCAGCGGAAGCATTCAGAAACTGCGTATGCGGATGCGGTTGCTGCTGCTGATGTTGTTGCTGCTGCTGCTGCTGGTACTTGACCGGCTGCATCTGATTTGGCTTGGGATAGGCATACGGATCGAAGGTCTGGAGCGGCTTGCGCTCTGGCTGCTTGGGCACATTATAGTAATTCCTACTCATCATGCCCAGCCCAAAGCTGGAATGCTGCTGTTGTTGCTGCTGGGGGTGTTGCTGCTGCTGCTGCAGCTGCTGCTGCTGATGTTGCTGGTGAAACTGCAGGGCCGTCGGCCTTTGGGCGGAGCTGAAGGAGGCCGAGTGCGTCAGTGGGGCACCGGTGCGGGGATAGCCCATCTTGGATTGCTGCTGGGGCGCCTGGTAGCCGTACATCTGGGGCATCATGCCGAGTGGCTGCTGCTGCATCGGCTGGCCAAACTTGTTCTCCTTGTTGGTGTTCTTCTGCAGAAACATGGCAAGTCCAGATTTGGGCGCCTGCTTGGGCAAATGCGAAGAGGAGTAGGACTGCTGCAGCTTGTGTGGCAGATGTTGCTGTTGCTGGTGGGCAGGCATGTGTTGCTGCTGCATGAAGGGATCACTCGCTCCGTTCATGGCGGAACATGCAAAGCTATTCCAGTTGAGGAAGGGTCGCTTGTGCTGCGGATACTGCTGCTGTTCCTGATGTTGCTGCTGTTGCTGTTGGTGATGTTGCTGCTGCTGCTGCTGCTGTTGCAGCAATCTCTGGTAGCCGCCCATGGGCAGCTGAGAGGTAGAGTTAGATTTGCCTATGGGATAGCAGATCCTTTGTTGCTGCTGCTGTTGTTGCAGCAACGGCTTCTGCGGATCGTAGAGCTGAACTGGCACGGGGATCTGAGATTCACCTACGTACTTGCTGCTGCTGCTGTTCGTGGGGCCTTCGAGTGCAGACTTCGGGTCTTTGTGCTCGCCCGTCAGCGACTGCGACATGATTGCATTATTATTGCTGTTAGTAGTGCTGTTGCTGTTGCTGCTGCTGTTGGTCTTCAACTTTAGCATGTCGTTCAAGCATTTTTCTAGCTTGTTGTCAACATCTTTCTGGCGCTTTGTGGCCGCTGACGACGATGACGATGTTGGCACCTCCAAGTTGGCAGATGCCATCGCAGCTGCTGGGCCACTTTGTTGCTGCTGCTGGTGGTGCTGATCGCTTGTTGTTGCTGCTACTGTTGGGGTCGGTGTGGCTGTTGCGGCTGTGGTTGTTGCTGTGGTGGGGGCAATATGGAACGATGAGGTGAACTTGGAGAGCTGCGGCAGGTGGGTGGTGCAACAGTTGGTCACCGTAAAGCTGCTTGTGCTTATCGTGCTGTTGCTCTTCTCTGACTTGCGTTCGAGAGACGCGGAATCCCCCGGTCCGGATTCCTCGATGGGCGCCACTTGTTGCGGCTTTTGCAGTGGCTGATGATGTTGCTGCTGAGCATTGTTAGATTCCTGGGGTCGGCGAAAGAAGGCAGCGGCACAACGGGGTGAAGGGACACAGGAACTGCTGGAGCTTTTCAAGACACCACTCGGTTTGCTTACAGCCGGTGGAGCAGCAGCTAAGGCAGGAAGTGGTGCTGGAGCTTTCAGTGGTTCCTTTGGTGGAGGTTCCTTGCGCGGTTGGGTCATGAGTATTGCAGAGTTCGATGTGCTCCTGCTCAATGAGGGTAGATTCTTCATATAGCAGGGTATATGAGTGCGACTAGAAGTTCGCAGCAATGGAGCTCCCATGGGTTGACCACCACCCGGCACATGCGTCATGGACATGCTCTTTGGAAGCACCTGCTGCTGCTGTGCTGAGGTTTGCTGCTTCACCGGTACTCTACTCACAAAATTCGATCCAGCCAGCGGCGACTGCTCGTTGCAGATCAGTTTGTAGAGATCGTCCTTGGTGACCGCCTGACGCACCTTTAGATCCAGGTGCGACAACGACGCATTCTTTTGTAATTTGTGGGGATGGTTTTGTGGAACCTGTGACTGCTGAGGTCTCTGCAGTTCCTTTTGGGCGGCCTCGGCAACTGTGGGATCAAAAATAGCCAATTTCTTGGCAGTCTTAGCGTCCACCTTAAAGGGTTGCCCTGCATCGCCCAACTGGGCACCGCAGATCTTCTCGTAGTTCCAAAAGGTTCGCTTAGGCGTTTGCCTCTTTTGCGAACTGGTCAGATTCTCGCTCCAGAATTCGTTCATCAACTGTTTGTTAAGGGACAGATTGGAGCCACTTTGTAGGCCATTCTTGGTGGGCAGCGGACGCATTGGAGTAGGCGCACTTAAAGGCATATTAGAACTTGAAATGCTGCGTTGCAGCTTGGGCTCGCCTCCAGCCTGTGAAAATATCGAGGGATATGCCAAACGCGGTGCAGCTCCACGACTGCTGGGATTCTGGGCAAAGTTAATTGATGACGACTTGGACAAGCCGGAGGAGATGGCCGGGACTCCTGGTCCTACTGCCTTCGTCACCGACTGCTGCGAATTAGACTTTGCCAGCGGTTGCTGTTGACGCTTGATCTTGTCATAGAGATCTTCGCACTCCTGGAACTCCTGGTGCAGCTTCCTGTCCAGTTCGCTGTAGTCAGGCAGGCTTTTGAGATACTTGTTCATCATCTCGATCTCGGCATCGTAGAAGTTCGCATCCATTTTAGCGCTGTTTGTCGCTGCCGCGGATTTCTCCTCCAGCTCCTGCTGCTGTTGCAGCAACTTGTCCAAACTGATTTCGTTTGAGGTGGACAGAGGTGGAGCAGCAGCAGCAACGGATTTACTGGCGTTCTTAGGAGCACGACATGGTACTGGCGGAGGTGGAGATGATGAAGGAGAACTACAGGAGGACAGCGAAATACTAGAAGCCGGACTAGAGGCAATTGTGGTCATTAGCCGGGAGGGCAACGCTGCTCCAGAGGCACTGCTGATTGTTCCCGTTGCCGCATTGTAGGCAAGAGGATGATGTTTCCTCGGTAGTGGAGGCGTGGACTTTGGACTCGCCGGCAGCAGAGGCGGACGACTCTTCCGGATTGCTAATGGCGAGGATATCGGAGAACGTACCGCGCACTTACTCTCCGGGATGCTGGACGATAGCACCGAGGCAAACTGTGGGGAGACCACCTGGAAGAACTGCTGGCCACTGGCCGGCGGCGGCGTAGGTTTTTGCATCGCTGGCTGGGATTCCTCTTTTGTTTTTAGGCTTGGCGATGGGGCGGCGGAGGAGGAAACTGCTGATGGCACTGTATTTGCTGGCTTGCCGGCATCTTCACTCATCTATAGGAAACAATCGCGCACTGCGAACCGTTTTGGGTTCTATGAATTAAAGATCCGATTTCAAGTGAATCCGTTGATTCAGCTTGTTTTGCAATCAGTTTTCAATCAAAACCCGTTCATTCAGCCTTTATCGCGGTTTTGTGTGTTATGTGTGTGTGCGTTTATTTATGATTTCATTATATCTTACGCAATTAAACCATTGCACTTCCTTATTTTTAACCCATAACTATTCCCAAGTGTATCAACGTGTTCCTACCATCGAGGTAAATTCTATAAAACAGATTTCGAACAAAACACAGGAGGAAGGAGACACCGAACACCAGGCGAACTACAGACACCACAAGGCGATCACCAACACGACGACGACCAACCTGCAGATACTGCTCCGGTATCTTACTGTTCTTCGGCACAATGATCTTCTTGATGATGATGATCTTGTCGCCTTCAATCTTGGTAATTGTGATGGGAACGCCGGGCATAGGACGCTGTGGCTTGGCGGGCACAGGTTGCTTGGGAGCGGTTCGAATTACTTGGGGTCCAGTGAGGATGCCACCGGGACTTGGCTTAGCAGCTGGAGGAGCAGGCTTGGGTTTTGGTTTTTGAGCAGGCACGTGTTCCTTGTGGTCGCTGCGCACAATAGAGAAGTGGTACAGTGGTTTGTCGTCATCCAGAATGCTCTTTTGCGGTACAGTTTTCTTCTCCACTCTACGCAGGACGACTCCCAGCATGGGCGACTCCTTGGGCTTGATGGTTATCGATCCACTGGGCGCTGTCACCCGCTTGAGACTCACTCCGAGGTTTGTGCCCACTGGCGGCGGTGTCTTCGTTCGATGCACCATTTTTCCACTGGGTATCTCACGGTAACCATCGTCCATTCGACGGCGACGACGATCCTCTTCTATCTGCTCTTGAACCCTTGGATCGGGATTAGTGTGCAGAGATGGTTCGGGTGCTACTAAAGGAGATGGGCCAGGAAAGAGCGATGTCAGACTGCTCCGCCGGCGGTTCATATTGGGCGCTGACACTGTCTTAGTGAGTGGAAATTTGGTAGACTGGGAAGGTGGTGCCATAAGTGGTGGTTCCACACCTGTGGCACTCGTAGTGCTTCCACGTCGACTGTCTGCCTTGCTGGGTTGTCTGGATGCCGATGCACTGACGCTGGCCGAGTCCAAACTGCTCATGCTAACGGAACTCTGGAGGCGATCTGGTGCAGCGCTCCGTTCGTGGTTACGTTCTGGCGAAATGGACCGCTCTCGACTGCGATTGTGGGATCGTGCATCGCGAGCAGCTCGCTGCATTCTCAGCAGCTCAATGGAGTCCGCTATGTGAGAGCTGCTCTTAGGCGGTGAATCATCCTTGGAAGAGGCCTTGGGGTGCGAAACGCTAAGAAGGTGCATCTCCATGGCATCATCTATGTTGCTGGGTAGCGAGGCAATGCGTTCTCTTGGTCCTGAATTGGTTGGAAGGGAACCCTTGGCCAGTTCCTCTTCCTCCTCTTCCTCGTCTTCATCAACTTCCTGCTCCTGCTCCTGCTCCTCCGCCTCCGCCTGTTGCCTGCTGCGCCGCTCCTTTTCTTCCTGTTGCCTGCGCTTCTCGCTCTCCATCACTCGCTGCAGTTGGGCCTGCACCTCGAGGGCAGCACGTGCTCTGGCCTTGGACTCGGCCTCGCGGGCCTGACGCAATTGTTCCTGGGCAATTGCCCGAGCTTCCGCCTCCGCCTGTGATCGCGATCTGGCCTCCGCTTCCGCGGCTGCTGTTGCCCTTAGGGTGGCCAAATCGGTAGCCGTCATCTGCTTTATGCTCAGGCGGCGCTCAGTGTTGAGGATCAACTCCACCTGGGTGCTGCCGCCTTGCGGCTTTTGCGCCGCGAGGTCTGGACACCCAAGGGCGATCAGTTCGCTAAATTCGTTGGACATTCCAATGGGTGTGGTGATCTCTCCGGTTGATTGTCAGTTTTCTTTCTGGATCCCAAGGGGAAAAAGTACTCGATTATCTAATATTGCACTGGCGGTTCCCTCGAATTGCGTTGGGTTCGACTAGCTGGGCAAGACTCGCGAGGCTGCCAATGTTGGCCCCAAAGGAAACCTGCGCAACATCGGATTAGTTCGTATTGGTTCTATTCGGATCAGATCGGATCGGAACAATCGATCGCACGCTCAATGTCAATGTCTCATTGGCATTTTGGCAAATGCCCGACGACTTGACTTACTAATTGTATCAATGGTCGCCGTTCGACAAAAGACTGTTCCTTTTGGCGCCCATATACATCCGACATATATGTGGGTACAAGCATGTATAGCACCCCCAATTTGTTTTGGTATATAGAGCAGAGGCATATACAAATTACAAATCGTAAACAGCAATGAGCTCATTGATCGCGGCGCCGCCTCATCAAAAAGCAAACCCCCTACCCCTTTGCGATTCTAGCCAAAAGACCTGCACCTTGCCCTAGATCTATTGCGATGTGAGGAATATGTGTGAATATCCCTGGAGAGATCGTTTTGGCCTATGTGTGATATCTCGGTGGGGTTCATTGGGCATCATTCCCTGCCATTCTGTATTCAGTTCGAAATCTGTTTTTATTTTTAACAAATGGACGACGTTATACCTAGTACATAGTACGTGTGACGATAGTGCCAGTACAGTGAAACCTCGGTCAGCCATGCAAATTTAACTGACAGCATTCATTTGGGAGATGCATGTCTGATCTCTGTTAATTACATTCGACTGATTGGATTTTTAATTCGCTTTGGTTTTCCATTAATTTTCTGATCTTTGCTGAGCTCTGGCTTAGCTTTCACTGTACCGAAAGCACACATGCGAGTTGGAAAATTTAAGGGGAAAAGTTTTCCACCCCAGTTGACTTTTATTTTGGTTGGCATCATCATATGGCCAAAATTGTATAATGTACAAGTTTGTGTCTTGGATTTTCGCTATAAGTTTGTTGTGGCAACTAAATATAAATGCAAGCCTTACGAAAATAGCTTTCGAAAATTATACAAAACGCCAGCTAAGCGGAAAGTGGAGGATGGAGGGCAGCAGAAGGAGACGCCGGAGCGGCGGAGATCAACATGATGATGATGTGGCAGCCTGATGAATAATCCCCGCCGATCTGTGGCGCACATATAGATATACAGTTTGTATCTATGTGGCACACACACTAACGGACACACACGTGTGTGCTCCATTTGTTAGTTTTGAGTTTTTGTTTTGATTTGCTTGGCCGCTGCGTTGTCTTCCTCGCCTTCATCTCCGAGTACACAGAAAAAATATTCACTATAGTATCTAAGCACTATGGTAAGTAAACTGCATTCACTTGTTGACCCTTCATATGGAAACATAGTTTACAAAATAATAAGGTTCATTCCTTAGTTCCAAAATGATCTTAAAAAGTCTTCATTTCTATCTGTGTATTCGATTGAGTGAATGGTGCATTAGTCTCCTCCATCCATCCGCTATTTCTATTAAAAGTATCTTTCGCCTCGCTAATTGCAAACTCGATGGAAAAGTGCAAAGTTCACTATCAGCGTTTTGGACGTTTCACAGCTGCTCATCTCATCTGGCTGGATGGTATCCCACTTGATATTATTCCGAATTATACACTCGCCACCGTTGGCGGGGGGTCAATAAAACAGTTTGGCTCTGGTATCTTGCATCGCGGTATTGTTTAAACAAATTCAGTCGCGCACTTTTTTTAACACTCTGTGTTTTGTTTGATGTTTTTTCGCTTTCGACAATTTTGTTCTTGCCGCTCTGCTACTGGTTTATTTTTAAAACACTTAAATGTTCTAAGTTTTTGGGTTGGTTTTTGTTCCCTCGCTTGATTATGTCACGGTGCCCAGCATTTGTTTTACCTTTCTATCGTTCCGATATGCGTTTCTATATACGCCCCGTATGTACCTCTAATTATTGTTCTATTCGATTATTTGGTGTTTCTCAGCAAAATACAAAAAAGAAAAAGAAGATTCAAAAACACAAGAAACGCACACACACACATATATATATATCGATAAACAAAGTGCGCGAAAGGAGACGATCGATATAGAGATCGGGGGGGATCTGGCCGGATAGAGAGAGACAGCGAGTGTGCGGGGGATCCCCGTGGTACCCGTACCGTACCGTTACACGACGAAGACGGAGCGACGACAATATGTAGTTTATATGGTTTATATGGCAGCAGTGGCGGCGACACAGAGCCAACAAACGTAGATTTCAATCTGTTTCGGTTTCCTCGAATTTGAAAATTCTCAGCCGAAAACTGGCCGCAGCCGAGAAGAGCGCAGACTTTCGTTGGCGCGTGTATTTATAATTTTCCAATGGCCACAGCGCAAATGGCAAGTAGATGCTTTTCCGCCGGATGAAGCTGCGCGCGCATCTCCGAGCTAGAGCAAGAACCATCAGCTGGTTTGGGGGAACATGCGCATAGTGCGGAGAGGAATCCCCAAGGCGTCGCTCTCAGGAGCCGATAAACATGTGTGTATTTGGGGGGATATAGACAGGGAGAGTGAGTACGCACCGTGTAAAATCGGTGTATATAGCGGCGGTCAAAGCAGTAGCATTGCCAATAAATCATGCCAAAATTTCCAGAAGATTTAACTTTTTTGTTCGCAGAAATTCGGACGATATACGGACGACCATTTGACTTGATTCGACACATGTGTGTACACATAACACAGATACAGATTCTAGCTAGCAATTTTAGTTTAACACATCGAAGGGTATTTGATAGGATTACAATTACTGTACATATGCTTATATATTGCATCATGAAATCTAGAGCAGTGCTACTTCTTTGGAAAAAATAGTAGATGAATAGATGGACTAGCGGGCCGACCATGCAACACGAGAAAACGAAAGACAGTCTGTGATTCCGAATTGGAGTGACTCACTAGATAGTCGTCGTTGTGGTCCACAAAGTACTCCTCGACGATCCAACTGTCGCCGGCGTACTTGTCCACTGGCATATCGCAGAGGGCCACCAGATCAAAGTGGTTACGCTGCCGCTTCAGCAGCAGGCAGCGGGTAATGGCCACGCTCTCTTCGTCACCGGGCAAAGCATCCTCCTCCAGATACGTTTCCAGGCCACAGCCATTCGCCCCGTTGCGGATGATGAGCTGTTGCTCCAACTGCCTAAAATACTGAATCTTGGCGGCTTGGCGACTGAACGATGACGCGGAGGGAATTCTATGCGAGTTACTCAGCCCACTTAATTGGCGGCGAGATGGGCAACTGGCAAAGCTGGCGAGGAACAGTCCGCATCATCCGCAGCAGCAGTGTCAGTAGCAGTATCTCATCACATCTCAGAGCAGCAAAGAAAACTCTGGCCGCCGTCAACGAGTTAATGTCAAATGATCAATTGAACGAAAATAACTAGAACAGCGGGGAGAGTTGGGCAGAGAGGAAGCTATAAAGAACCACCAACAGTGAATGGGAACTATAAAGTTCTCGTTTAATTAAGAGCTGTTTTTCATACTGCGAGATTTTATGAAGATCGCATATAAATTGCTTCATTTCCACATGAACATTGCCAAGGTTTCGCTTAACTGCTCTATTTAAGTACCACTTTATTGCGGTCGAATATTGTTTAAACCAAGTTTCCACATGCTAAAAAAATATATATATATCACTACTGTTTTAACTACAATTAAGTAACAAATCCAATAGAGTTTACATTTCCTCATACTCTAAGTTTCTGAATTTCGACACAGTTTAAAGGCCTTGCCCAACCAAGTACTATCTTATCAACTCTTGCTGCTCACCGAGTTCTCAAGTGCTCGGCCTCTTGAAGCCCTAAAAAATTAATTTCCATATTGAATTGCAGTCTCAGTCCGGAGCACTGATTACAGTGAACTTCTCATGTAATCACTGTACCAGAAGACCAAAAACCATAGCAATGTGACACATCTAATGACAAATTTAGCTCAACGCCGCATAGATAAGAAAGTAGAGAGCGATCGAGTGCAGCGGCAAACGATGAAGATAGCTGATCACTTCACTCACACAAAACCAAGAAGTGTTAGGTTAGTCAGGAGGAGGAGGATAAGGGTGGGTTCGATTGATAGCACAACACACTAGCTTACTAGATAATCGCTGTCGTGATCGGCAAAGTACTCAACGACTATCCAATCGTCCGTGTACGGCATAAAACGCAGTGGACAGCTGGACAGGATCAGATCGCGACAGTGATCTACGACCGGTGGCGCCGGCAGATCACGCATCTTGATGTAGCACGGAATCTGGGAGCTCTCGAATTGATTGGCCACCTGCTGGGACTTCTCAAGATACCGCTTGAAGAACAGCATGATGGGGGAGTCGATAGAAGCGATCTTCTAGCACTGATCAGGCGGACGGCACAGCTTTTGGCAATGCACAAGGATTGAGAAACGCAGGTGGCGGTGGTGGTTAAATGAAATCGGTCCGATGTGTTCGTATAATCTGTCCGCCTACTTTGTTCTTTTACCATTTTGTTTTGCTTTTAGCTTTCGTTTTCAGTTTGTGATTTTTCTTTGGGTTTTCCATTTTTTTCGTTGCCCTGCCTACAATTTTCACTTGTTTGCTACGTGTGGTGTGTATAAAATGAAAAGTTTTTACCTTAGCCTGCGACTGGCGGTTGTTGCGTCCGCTGTCGCGCTCATCCTTGGCCCGATCACGGTGTCGGCGGCGGGAGCTCGAGTGGGAGGTCTCGTCCCTGTAGCGGTACTTGTGCTGCCGACGACTGGCGGCGGGCGACTTGCGGTGCGAGCGCTTCGAACGCTCCTTGCGTCGGCGGGATGAAATGCTGTCATCGAAACTGCAAAAAGAAAGGTGTCCGGTTAGTTCGATCTCGTGAGTTATTACCTAACCACCCGGCGACAGCGGATGAATGGCCGTCCTTGGAGCAACGCCCAGCAGCGTGGACAACATGGAAAGCTACTTAGCTACCCAGCCAGCCACTCAGATACTCGGATACTCAGCTACTTAGCGGGTAAGCCGCTCCACGCTTGCCTTGCCGCCGGATTCTTAGGCCAGGCAGCCGGCAAGCCAGTGCGAGACGTGTGTTGGCGAATCGGTTTTGCGTTACCAATCAAGTTAATCAACTCGGCCGGATGGCTACCTCAACTGGGACTGTTACTGTTGGCTATCTGGCTGGCAGCGGCCCACCTCTACTGCCGGCCAAATGCCTTTGAGAGTACTTCATGGTTCGAGGAATGACACAATACGAGGCGGTCGCCAGTTTCGAAGTGAACCCAGCGGCACAGCACCCTAGACTCCGATCGAGGACGGAAACTGTGTCAATAACATTGGTAGCTCGGCGGGCAGGGCTCATGTTCATGCTCATGTTACATCCACTCACCACACCCACCCCAAGAAGACAAGAAGCCAAGAGGCCCAGACGACGCGCTGCACAAGTGCGGGTGGGCAGCGATCTTGGCATGAATCAGCTGATTGCCGAGAGATAACTGACCTATCAAGCTACTACCAAATCCAAGATCCAAGAAGTCAACCAGCCACATATGCTAATAAGGCAAAACCAGCTCTCATTGAGCGATTACGAAAATTTTTGTCAGTGGCGCGCTCACTGCTCCTCGCCCACGTGGCCCCCAAAAAGCATCTAAATTTGGGCACAAATTATGAAAAGCACAGAACCGAACTGAAGCTGAAAGTGACTTTGGCTGCTACAAGTACGATTCGTTCGTTCGTTATTTCCGACCTGCATCTATATGTAGTATACAGCATAGTGTGGTATTGTATATGACAAAAGCTCAACGCCTGCGCAACAGCCAAGAAAACTACTTGAGCGCACACGCTCTGTACAGATGGGATGGATATCTCCGTAGGCTGGAAAGACTCTTGGGCAAGAAACGAACTGAATTGAACCTATCTGAGATCTGTGATTTCTGACTGGCGTCTGTCGAGGAAAAGCCGCTTACGGCCTCGCGGCAGTTAATAAAAGGAATATAGCTCCATGGTAGCCGAGCTCTTTCGGCATTTTGATTTATGATTAATGACGCGCTGCGTGCAAATTAGACCAGCTTTTATGGCCAACTGTAATTGGATATTAATGATTCGTTGATTCCGATTCCGATTCAGATCCAGAATCCGATTTCGAGTTCGAGAAACAAAAGAGTAGGAGGGGTGGGAGGGTAGGAAGCGAATGGCAAAGCAAGTTCATAATAGATTCCCAATTTGGACTGGAGCATTTCAGATCGGCGTTGTGTAAGGTAATTGGCTTAATATTTCACTCAAGGCAGTCGAACAGGTCGAAAGCTTCACTAATAAAAAAAGCCTTATAAAATATTATCTCTGACCTAAAAGAACACGAGTAATGGGTTCAACGGGACTGCCGTAAACATGCTTAAGTTAGGTAAACAAAGGGTTTGGTGGTTGTCAAACAAGGAAAGCTCTGATATGGACGGCCACAATAACTATTTAAAATGTGGCACTGTGGTAGCCAAGCTTTGAAACCTATTACCCTTAGGTTGATCTGCGGGTAAAAGCAGGAATTCGACCGGCGTGCTTATAAGTTATGACAGCCTGTGGGAATCGCGATTAGATATGATTAGGGGAACAGAAACAATGTTAATTGGCCTGAAGGGGTTACAAAAGGCTATTTAAACTTTAAAGAACTTCAGCGCGAATTGCTGATTATTTCAAGGATGGAGAAATCGTTATTCTAAGCCGCTATATGTGAGGTAATTGAACAATCGCGCCCATATTTAAAGAGTTCCTCATTCAGAGGTCTGCCCTTGAAGATTTTGCCAGCTCAGACGCATCGGGGGTTCTATATTGTTATTTTTCTCTGTTGGCCTCGACTTTTCGCAGGCACACAGATGAGGCAACAGTTTTATGACCAGACCAATCCCATATCTGGCCTTATCATTTCCGACATGTGGACACCAGTTGCTAGAGTGATTGTGACGACCTTGACCGATTCTTTCTGCCAACTTGATTTGTATGCATGTTTGCATGTAAGAAAACCACCCATTCACGCAATAAATACCGCAATTGACTACGATTAAACACCATTGTCTTGGCCAACTTCCTTAATGGTCAGCAATTTGTACGAATCATGTACACCTTCCTTTCCACTTCTAAGATGATAAAGAATCTGCGACAACAATTAGCATTAAG